GCGATCGCGCGCGGCGCGACGTCCACGTCGACGCTTAAACGATACCGAAATCAATCGATCATACGTAATAACGGTTTCCTAAAGACGACTTTTCACAGACCGCCACCCGGCGGCCATGTTGTCTCCCCGCACATCTGCCAGTCTCGGACCCCGTGCAGCACGGCGAGAGCTGAACGTGCTGTACGAGCGAGCTTTCGAAAGGGTGTTTACACGTCGCGAGTTACGATGCGCTCGACGAAAATAATTCATTAGGGTACGGTTCCGTCACGTTGGGCGTGACAGAGGGGAGACTTGGAGAGAAGCGATGAGAGTGACTACCGGTATCCATCGCACAAGCGATTTTCCGCAGATAAAACTTTACTCAATATCGGCCTAAAAGAGCCGTTAAAATTTTTGGATAGTACGCGTAGGAAAGTGCAGTTCCTAAAGCGTTAGATTTTGTTTTAAAAAAAATGATTAAGGATGTATCTCAGACAGGTATTATGTCACAAACGAGCAAAGGAAGGATTTTTTATCGAATTTTTAACCACGATTCTATTGAATTTTTTCTCTCTCTGTCTGGTACTAACCGAAAGATACCTATTCTACGGAATGTAAAGCAAAATCCGGACGCTCGTGGTCGCCCTTAAGATACATATAAAAGGACTTCAACAAGAAGCGGCGGTGCATCGCGTGTTTCGCAAGAGCAGACGTTGCGGTCGTTTAAGGAAATAGTGCTCCTCTCCCCCTCTCTTTCTCGCTCTTAAATAGTACAAATTAGGACGACATCCTCGTGTGGCATCCGGTGCTTCAGGTAAATCCTCTTTGGTCACGTAAAAAGCCCCGCAATCCCTCCGTCCGCTCCCGGCGTGACGGAGGATGCATTTTTCTGCGACAAACGCTGGGCACTCAGCCGCGGCCGTTCGCAGTCCATTGTCGCTCTCGAAAATGTCAACGGGACGTCGCTTAAAGGGACACCCTTACCAGGCGAATCGGATTATCGGATTACCGGTGTGGAAGCCGAGAGAGAGCATCGAGGGTACTCGAGATCGCGACGCGGACGATGTCGTGCAAAATATTGACAGGTGTCAACTACGTTCTCTATTGGCGGACACGGGTAGAATCGCATAAAGAGCTCGAGGACATACGCGACAATTCCCTTCCGCGCGCGCTCTCGTGTCAATCGTGTCCTTAGCGACATGATACATAGTATAATGGCTCGACAATCCATGGTCAATCCAAAATATATGATTTAAATAAGGATCTTTTTTTTTTTCAATCGCTTCCCGTACGTGCATATCGGATTTTTTAAAATATTTTACGCAAGATCGCTGAGAGTGAAGCGGAAGTGATGTAGCCCGCTAAAAACAGGGATATTATGTCAAGAAAGCGACGGGGCGCGGCGGAGTCGTCTGTGAATTAATAACAACAACGGTCCCAGGCATATCCCGGACTTTGTCGATCGAAGCATTAATTGTTAATGATATACCGAGGTCAATCGCTAGAAAAACGACCATCGTTGTATCGCGACGAGTGGCTCATAGCGTGACAGGTTTGCCGGTTTCCCGCGGATTCACGTCTTTTCAGCGTAGCGTGCCGACGTATAACTTTACGAAGAAAATTCTCCCCAAGTTTGTAGGTAGTTTTATGTATAGCTTCAACGCGCGTGACGAGAGCGACGGTTCAACGTGTGCCGTTTTGCGTGTGCCACGTTTATTAATGCATGACATTGGAGCAGTAAGAAGATAACGTATCTTTATACTCCCTTATAAATAAATATTTTATATACTTTCTTCCCTTTCTTTTCGCGATGGATATCATAGTTAAATAAATTTATTACTGCCGATTGGAAAAATTTAATATAAATTTTATTATCGATCTTAAAAGTAACGTAATATTCGAAATATAAACATTGCGCTGGAAAAGTTTACGATCGAACCATCATACTTCGAAACTAGGGAGAACATTGTTGACATCCTCATTCAATTGACACCGGGAAAAGAAGGGAGAATGTATACATGCGTGTAAACGATGAGTAAATTCGCCTCTATTTCTCTCGTCGCGCCAAGTCGAGCGTATTAATCGCAATGCGGAGATCGCGTCCCATTCACCGACGCGTCGTCAAGGAGTTTCACGATCCTTTAAGGGCAAACCCCCCCCATTGACGATATAAGAGACAGGGTGAGACTCGGGTGAGAGAAAGAAACAAAGAGACGAGACCCTTACGTGGACGCGAGTATCTTCTTATTGGCGGGATCGGGTGACGAAAGGAAGTAGGCATCGCGTTTCCATCCCACGCATCCTGTCAAGTGGATTCCACCGGCGCACAAAGAAGATCGGACAAATAATTGGCTCCTCGGATACACAGGTAGGAGCAGTCCTTTTGAGCCCTGAGAACCTTGCGCAAGGACCATTGTAAGAGGGACACTCGATACATTCGGATCGAGTGGCTCGACACCGGGGCGAAAGAACTTGCGGCCGAAAGTTTGGAAAATGGGACATTTATTTCGATGAGACCCGGTCACGTCACACGTTCTTTACTTACGATAGAAATTGGAAAAACTCCAAAAGTGTTTACGCGAGTTTGAATATTACCTAGTAGTAAAAAAAGTACATCAGCTCGATATACATTATTTATTTCGAGAAAGGGAGAATAATCTCTTGGAATAGATTTACTCGAGTCTTCCGCAATTCAGCTTCGTTTTGCTCTGGCAACGCGAACGCTAGAATCGCTCCCTGGATTCAAGATCGACGACGTCGCCCATGAATAATCTCACGCGATGTAAAAACAACTCGCAGCACGACGGTCGGCTACGAGAATTACATGAAACAGGTTCGCGCGAGCCGGGAACCCGGAGAAACAAACAGCGAATCAACATGGAGGATCGGAGTAACGAGAGGCGGCAAAAAGACCGGACCGGAAGCCGGATCGGATCCGAAGGACGATCTCTCGAACGCCCGCGAAATGTCCACGGACGGATACGCGACTTTTCGCCGCCATTAATATTCGAGAGACGCGACGCACACAGGAAACTTTCTGCCTGACTTAATTAATACTCGCGCTCACGCGCGCGCGCGCGCCTTTCTTTTTGACGGCAGGGATTTAATTACTTTTTTACGTCGACTCGTAAATCATTTCGCGGGGCCCGCAAGGCGACCGCCGTCGTCCTTCCTGCCGAGTCATAAAATAAAGAGCTTCTCGAGCGAACATGTGTTGCCCGGTTACGGTCGCAAATGCCGAAGGATATATCGAGAGCTTATCATTGTCAGATTATCTCTGATATTTTTTGAGTCTGATTCGTAAGGCGATCTGCAATGTGGCCCGATACGATCGTAAAAGCCGATTTTGTCGAATTGGAGATATAGTTGATATGTCAGAAACTCGTCTAGTTTGCTGCAATAAATCGAGATTTCTTTGCCTTTATTTATAGGATCTAAGATTCACGCTGATCGATGATCATTAAGACTTATTATTTCTTTTTCTATCTAAGCATATTTTTCAAATGGGTAGAAGACGTTTTAATCTTTATCAATTATAAAGTATTCACATGTATATCGCAAAAACTTTTTCAATCACAATATGACGTTGCAGAGAAGTAAATCTTCATCGTTCTCAGTACTTGTTGACACTTTTAGCATTAATTATTTTTATACTCATAAAGTATATGTTAAAGGTTATCTCGCGCTTATAAAAATAAGTTACGTTTTTAAAACTTGCAATTTACGAGAGAATACTTGATATTTTCAAAACGATTCTACATTTTTTTATTTTATCAAATGTAACTTCAATATTTAATTGTTAGATAAAATAAATAATATAAATTTATAGTAATAATAATTGTGTGAATAAAATATATATGTTTCTGATTAAAATAATACAGTCAATTAAGATAGTCCATATTATAGTGTTAAAAGTAATTGCATAGATAAATTTGATTCCATTACCAAGTAATTATCTGATAATTTTTTAAATAATTACGTATAATTGAAAATTAGTGCGTATTATTTTATGAAATAATGATTAATATTATGTATGATTATGATTAGTTCTTCTATTCTATTATTAAACTCATATAGAGACGAATAATTCTTGGTTTACAGATAACTATATCGCCATAATACTTTAGATCATAAATAATTATCATATCGTATGATAAATAATTAAATATCGTGTACTACAGATACTAATCAATCTTTCCATCTATCCATCTATCTTTCCATCATTTCTAATCATAGTGCATGTTGCACTAGAAAAAAAAATACCGACGTATAATTATATATTAAATAAATTATTTCCTTTATTCGCGCGAGCGCTGACATGTACGGATGATCGAATTGTTGATAGTAATGGCAAAGTAATTTATTTGCTAATACCCACAGCTGTGTACAACGCTCACTTAAATTACATGCAACGTTTACTGATAACTAATTTTTTTATCTCCAATCCAATTTAAATATTCTCCTTCGTGACATATGAAACGACGAGATCGACTAACAAATCGATGTCAAAGATTAAAGATGACATTTATCCTGGCGTTTAAAATGTTCGGCGTTCAAAATGGTCGTCAGGATACACCTTTGTAAAAATCTCGGCGATGTTATCGAAGGTGTCAAGAATCCGACGGTAGCCGGCGGTTCTCGGCGTCGCCGATACCATGCTCCTACCTGCCAGGATTAAGATCTCTATCCAGGATTAACGGGGGCGTCTAGATGAAACTCGAGAGACCGGCCTCGCTTCGAAAGGATAATTGTCGTTTTAACTCGACCGAGAAATTAATCCATCGCGACGGGGATTCCTTTCACCAACGTGTCAAAGCCCTTCTTTTCGCGCGAGCGATGGTAAATATAAATTCGCAGCAGTGTGTGTCACACGTCGTGAAATTTACACGTCGATAGTAGTAGCAATCTCCGCATTCGATACGCGATGTCGCGAAAACGACAGAAACGGATGCACAGACGACGTTGAAAACCAAAATAAAATTTAAAAAAAAAAAAAAAAAAAAAAAAAAGCAAAAACTCACCACGTGACCGTGCACCACCGGCGACTTCGCGATAGACTGTAGCTGGGGATAGAGTTGACCAGCCGCTGCCGGTGTCATGTCGGTCAGCATCTCGACGCCGACTTCGAGGATTGTCTCAGCCGGTGCCCCGCGGGAATTCACACACCGCGGGCTCAAAATCACACGGAATTAAAGTCCTCTCCGCGGATCCGCTTGTCTCTCTGTCTCGTTGGAGCTTCTTCGGTTCGCGCACTAACACTCGAGATGATCGCGGAAGACCCGGTCGTGTCCGATACTCGTGTCGATCTCGCGCGGAGGTCCTCCGTCGCTCGGGACAAAAAAGTTCTCCCGTCGAAAAGGTGCCCGGGATTTACCGTGTGCGTGATTCCCGTTCTTCGCCCCGTGACAGACTGCCGACCGGTCGAACGACTTGGTCTCGACCAGACGGGGATATGCGTGGTAGGGAACAGCGCGCCGCGTCCCAGGACTTGGCAGCCCCCGGGCAAAAAAGGGGCCGGGTCTGCTGGGGCGGTCTCCCTGTAGGAATTCGTTGCCGCCCATCACCGCCTACGTGCCGTACCCCAGTTTCCTCGACTTTATTTATACCTCTCCCCCCTCTCTCCCTTTCAACGATCTCCTCGCGAGATTCCCTCTCCGATGCCGCGGTCTCGGTTCCATCGGACCACTTCCTCGACCAGCTCTCTGTCGCGTTGGCGATCCCCTCCGCGGGGCCCCCTACTTCGATAATTCAGCTGTGAAATGCGCGCGCAGCTCGTCGTAGTCGTCGTCGTCGTCGTAGTCATTGCTGGAAGGGGCACGCGCGGCGGTGACTTTGGTAGTGTCCTCTCTGGCGTATAGAAGGGGTTTTCCACGCTCTGCCTCCTCTCTTCCACCTCCTCGTTTACCCTCGCGCGGCTCGCGCTTCCTTCCCCTTTCGCCGCTTTACGTGACCCGGAGTCCTATCGGCGGTGTACGCGAGCTCGCAGTTTGACATAACGGTATACATACCACGCGCCGTCGTTATTTAAATACCGATACGACTCGTGAGACGTAGGATCGAACGTAGCGTGAAAATTCTTGGTCTGTTCGCATGAGATAAACATGCGATCGAGATGGAGTGTGCGTGTTCCGGGTATAAAGGGTAAAAAGGATGAACGAAGATATTCTTGGGGACTATTAAAGGGAGACGCATTTTAGACTCGCTACGCAATTGCGTTTGACGACTTTTATACGTCCCGTAATCGCTTTTTAAATGTTCCAAGCTATTTGTTCGGAATTATTCTTAATGCGTCGCGCGTTCAGGAAATTACATGCAAATTGTTTCGTACCACTGCCTTTCCCGCGATCGTGCTCTTAATGGTTTATTTCTGTCGCTGATGTAAATAAAGTGAGATACGCGAGGATTGAATTTTATAGCGAAAGCTGGAGAGAAACATTCTTTTTTCTTAACTGTGATCTACGAAAGTATACTTTGCTATTATAATTCCATATAATTTTGCATCTTATATATAGTCCTTATACACCGTCTTGTTTGAATTACATATGATTCTATATATTTTCATCAATCCCCGTTGCAAATACGTATATATTCGCGAAGACAAATATATGTTATTTGAGATTATAATTATTGCAATGATATTAAATATATTTTAATATATATTTTAATATATATTTATATTTATATAATACATATATTGTCAACAGTATATCGCATTGTGTATTTACATATGTAACAAGAAAATGTCGAATTTATAATCACATTTAAAAGAATTGTATTGTCAACTTCGTCTATTCTAGCAATTTTGACTATATATCTGTTATAAAATCGAAATTGTAAAACTACAATGTGAAAAATCAAATATAGTTTCTGTGCATGCGGAGTTTGTTTTTAAATATTTAAT